AAACATATTGCTGGTATGTAGTAATATACAATGAAAACGCAACAGTCATCAATAGCTCATTGGTCACATACAAGTTCTTACCATAATTCTGATGTGTTGTGATATAACTAAACATCACACTTCACCAACGTAATCCAGTTCACATCACAACAATTGTTTTCAACCATTTTGCTAATATAAATATCGTCTCAACCACTACTAGACCTGTCGTATCCCAGCCAGATTGATATGCTCTGTATTAGGCGAAAGGCCTCGTTGGCACTGAATAAAGCAGATATGTTGTGATTGACATATTATTGCACACAATTCTTTACTTTCACTCAGATATTATTATTAATAATAAATAGTAAAATTATAATATACATATACATACATAGCCTAACATAACATATTTTTGAAGTAGATCAACTGTTCAAACTGTTTGTTACTCAAATCTATTTTTATGTAATGACAAAAGGATATTTATGGGAATGTAATAATATTCTCCTCACGGATTATACAATTCATGGACAAAACCTGTCGTAAAAGCTACAACTAATCAATAATAATAAGGACGCTCTACTTGTGGTTTATATAGTATGTAGCATTATTAATATCATTAACTTTTTATTATTAATCTACCAGATTTTTTTGTGATAACTAATTTACACACATCTGATAGATCAGTATAATACGTTATTGTTTATTTAATTTTTGAGTATTTTATTTAATCTTTGTTAAGGTTTAGAAGTTATTGATAATTAACTTATTCACCCTCCTATTAACATGGAAAGGATTACGCCCCAATACAACCTCGTTATACTCAAGACATAATAAAATTTTTATCAGTTTAAACCAAGCTTAGCTGTTTCAGTTATAATACTGATAATCTAAAACGCCTTCTTTTCTGAGGAAGTAATTTTTTAAAAGAGCAGTTCCTTAATAAATTATCTGGTGCCATAAGAAAATAATATGTTGGAGCGAAACGTGCATAAACTATGGAAGTGGTAGGATCCCCGTGTTTTGTGTCTAGATACTTCGTACCTGCCTGTCAAGTGGTACACGTCTTGGAGAAGCTAATTGCTTTTTAGATTAATCTTAATTACCCTTGCCATTAATTTGCCTAAGAAATGTATTTGTTCACCGTAATATTTGGAGCCATATTGTATAGACAAAAAGTAAGATGAACAGTGCTTTATCTTTAAACTTTTAGCAAAAAGAAACAAACTTTCAATTCATATAATAATTAGCTCTGTGCATATCATACACATTTAAGCCTTTTTAATTAAAGAAATACTAGTCTTTTCATGTTCAGATAAGGAAAAGTCTTAGATTTGGAGTTTACATGGTTGATAGTTTTTTTTATCCACAAAATTTGACAGTTTGATTGGTAAAGTAATGAGTTATTAGTGTGTGCAGGTGCTATATATGAGACTGTGATGTATGATTGCGGGGAACACGTTCCGTGTTTGATTGATCACATGCCAAATATGGTAGCAAAGGATGTACTGGTTCGAAATGTTAACTTATCTACGCTTTTCTGGAAATGTTTTAACTTTTCGGTTAGCAGCAATTTTTCATCCACCATTTATGTGAGTTAGGGTAACTTCTGAAACTAACCTTCAAAGTTATCTAATTAGAAGCTTATGTACTACCCAAATCTGTACAAGGAAGCCCATAAAACTAGCCTCCAAATTTATCTAATTAGAACCTAATGTACTACCTAAATCTGTAAAAGGAAGCCCATAAAACTAACCTCCAAATTTACCTAATTAGAAGCTTATGTACTACCCAAATCTCTACTAGGAAGCCCATAAAACTAACCTCCAAATTTATCTAATTAAAAGCTTATGTACTACCCAAATCTGTACAAGGAAGCCAATAAAACTAATCTCCAAATTTATCTAATTAAAAGTTTATATACTACCCAAATCTGTACAAGGAAGCCCATAAAACTAACCTCTAAATTTATCTATTTAGAAGCTTATGTACTACCTAAAGCTGTACAAGAAAGCCCATAAAACACTGTCTTGACAACCTGTTATATGAGAATCATAAAATAGTCAAAATATATTTTATTCAAACGTCTCTCCATTATTTTATTATACACATGTTATACAGTGTAGCAGATATACAATTATTCAATATATTTAAACATTGTAGATACATTGTAATATTAAACTATTATAAACCACCTTAGATAAAGATAAATGTCTAGTCTTATACAGACTGTAATGTAGATACAAGTTTGATGAAGCTTCCTACTTTTATAAAACAAGATAAACTTCGATCAGCATATTTTATTTTCTTTCTCTTATCTATTAGCAGTACATTACTAACATGTTGTTCTTCTCAACGAGTTTTTCCCGTTTCATGGTTAAATAAGTATGTAGAAGAAACGTGTTTTGACTAATACAATATTTATTCTTTAAAAAAATCTATGTTTTCGACCTTTGAAAGAAGAAAGTGCACTAGAAATCTCAATGTCTACTCCATAGTATATGATTAATTACCAACGGTCTTTTTCATCGTGTTTTAATTTTCTATATCTTAATTAGGATTGCCCAGAAAATATTAAACCATCTAATTAAAGCATCTAAAATGTGAGCAGAGAGAAACATTACTAGTCGATCAACTACTGAACTAATAAAATCATTTTTGATATAAGGACAAAGCCACCGAATTATTAACAAAAAAAAAGTCAAACCTTGTTAAAGAAGCAAGAGATAGTATTTTACTTGTGTAATGTAATCAATAATTCAGTTTTATTCATGTTTCTATAAGTATAGTATATTACTTGTGTAATATAATCAATAATTCAGTTTTATTCATGTTTCTATAAGTATAGTATTTTACTTGTGTAATGTAATCAATAATTCAGTTCTATTCATGTTTCTATAAGTATAGTATTTTACTTGTGTAATATAATCAATAATTCAGTTTTATTCATGTTTCTATAAGTATAGTATTTTACTTGTGTAATATTATCAATAATTCAGTTTTATTCATGTTTCTATAAGTATAGTATATTACTTGTATAATATAATCAATCATTCAGTTTTATTCATGTTTCTATAAGTATAGTATATTACTTGTATAATATAATCAATAATTCAGTTTTATTCATGTCTCTATAAGTATTCGTGCGTGATACAAATCTAAGAAAAAACATATGTATATGTCATCAAAGAGAGAACTTGATAAAATTAACGATCAAAAGAACGAAGATCGATTGATCACAAGCCAAAAACGAAAACTAAAAGTACACGACGGAATATACACGTTATAGGTAGACAGATATATCTAGTAAAGTTATAAACTTAAAAACTCGAGCGCTTTCGAATAGTTGACTATTCTTTTTCAGGAGAACAAAGTTATAAGATTTTAAAGCAGATATTGTTTAGCAAAGTTCAGATTTTGTGTAAAGTTATTTGGAAATTTCTGAGATTTAAAATGTATGTGAATAATTTGCTTAGTATACAAGTCATAAAGAGATGTTATGTTTATTCTTTTCTTTATTCATCCAACACATGTGTTTAGGTAGAATGATAAGACAAATCGGTGTCACTACTACAGGTAAAACAAAGGATTTAGGTCAAACGAACTATTCTATACTTTGTTTACTTATATCTAAACCAGGCTGCTTATTCTTTGCTGCTAAGGTTAGCTTGGCTAAAAATATCATTCGTACGTCTCGTCAAGTATTATTATTATCTTTATTTTAGAAGATGCTGGGCTGTTTGTTTCGCAATATGATTATGTGTTGATTATTCATTGTAATTTTATATTACAAGTTTGAACGATAGATGACACTGATACAGCATGTTTATTAAAATAGTCAGGTTATTTTTTTCATAGACAGAGTTACCATCTACTTGATCTATATGACCAGTTACCGATAGTTGTACTGGTTATTTAAAAGATAAATGTTTAGACTGTTTAACAGATAATGTTTAAGGTTATTTTTTTCATAGACAGAGTTACCATCTACTTGATCTATATGACCAGTTACCGATAGTTGTACTGGTT